TGGCGTTTTCTACTAATTATATGACCAAACAGCTGAATTACCAAACATCTTCTGACAACCCGTCAATTTATTCCACTAGTCAACCCCCCTGACCGAACTAAACAAAGATTGATCAGGTCTTGATGACCGAGCACAGAAGATCTCAGCTCACATCCAATGGTTTACACTTTTTTTGATTTTTTTAGATCTCATCTGATCCTGTTTGCCACTGTTTGTAGGCCGGAGTATATTATCACCGGGCCTTCGTGGCGGCCGAACAGGAGACGAAGCTCCTGGCAAGCGGCCGGGAAGATAGCCAGATCCTTCTATCTGCTGTTCGCAAGCTCATCACAGACTTAGAGGACCGTGCCACCAAAGGTGAGAGAGCAATGGCTGAACTGGCTGCGATGGAGGAGAGGATTCGCCGTCGTGATCGGGAGATCTAGGACCTCAGAGCAAAGGTGAAAGTGGCCAAAACCGCCGGGATGAGGTTTGACAAAGCTGAGGGAGAAAACCATCTCGTTCCTTATACTTCCAATAATGCCAAGATCACCAATACAGATGCAAAAAGTGGCAAACAAGATCAAATGAGATCTAAAAAATTCAGATGCACATGCTTATCACAAGGCGGTGATGATCATTTTGATACTCGTATTGATCCCTATCCAGTTCCTCAGATTGATCTCCTGGTAGATGAAACAGTTGGGTGTGAACTATTGAGTTTCATGGATGCCTTCAGGGGGTATCATCAAGTCTTCATGCACCCAGACGACGCAGAGAAAACAGCATTCGTCACTTCGGATGGCGTATTTTGCTACATCGTGATGCCGTTCGGGTTAAAGAATGCCATGGCTACCTTCCAGAGAATGACCGGGATACTGTTCAAAGAAGTGGTGGGGGTAACAATGGAGGCCTACGTGGATGATATTCTGATCAAGATCCAGAAAAAGGAAGATCATGTTCGGGATATGGAAAAGGTGTTCGAGATAATGCAAAAGGCGAATATGAGGTTGAACCCCAAGAAATGTGCCTTTGCAGTTAAGGGGGCAAGTTCTTGGGTTACATGATGAGCGAGAGAGGCATTGAGCCTAACCCAGAGAAGGTGAAGGCAATCATGGATATGGAAGCCCCAAGGAACCTCAAGGAGGTTCAGAGATTAATCGGTCGATTGGCAGCCTTGAGTAGATTCCTGTCTAAACTGGCCGACCGAGCAATCCCGTTTTTCCAGATTATGAAGAAGGCAAACCCCTTTGAATGGACCGCCGAATGCCAATCGGGGAGGAGTTCAAGACGTATCTGTCTTCTCCCCTGGTCTTAACAAAAGCTGACCCAGGGGAACACCTGTATATGTACCTCGCCGTGGCCGATCTGGCTGTAAGTTCAGTATTGCTGAAAGAAGAAGATGGCATCTAGCGGCCAATTTATTTTGTGAGTAAAGCATTCAACGGGCCGGAGACTAGGTACACCTTGATGGAGAAAACAGTATTGGCTTTGATAGCAGCCATCAAGAGGCTTGCACCCTATTTTCAGGCTCATCCGGTGACCGTGTATACAACTTAGCTCATCCGGTGACCGTGTATACAACTCAACCTAGATTGTAAAGGGCTAGCATTTTGATACTCAAGGCCTAGAATAGCTTCATTACTCTTGTTCTTGTATTAATCATTATTCATACGTACCATTCGGGAAGTTTTCTGTGTAATCAACGAATTATCTAATACACATGGGCTCTTGAGCATATTATTATTGAGCTTTTATATTTTCATATACTCTCAAATTATTATACACATCCTAAATATCCAAAGCGTGTGTTGGGCTTTCGGATCTACGGGACTTAACATCTACATTGGTGTCGTCTGTGGGAAACTTGAACAAAAAGTTTTTCAAACCAAACATTTATCTAAACATCAATCTATCATCAAGATGGTCAGAATCACCTCTCTTCATACCAACGAGGATTCAGAACGACATGGAAGGAGCAGGACTCCGGGGAGCCGGACACCCCAAGGGCAATCCAATCGGGGCTCCTATCCACACTATGATGGGGATTTCTACATCCCTGAAGCACTGAAGAGGAACCCTCATGCGAAGCGAGATGTAGCCCGAGTTATGCAATACATGGCAGACGAGCAAGATGGGGGGCAATCTAGTTACACAGGGGAAACCCCTTATACAGAAACAACCACGACATCGGCCCATTCACAGGCCCATCAGGGAGATCATCGGGAGACTCACACAGCCAGGCAGCACATTCCCAGTGACCATACCCCGATCGGGTCCCGAGCCAGAGGACCTACGCCAACTGAGCATCGTTTCCAATATGAGGGACGTGATAACACCAGATCCAGGCAGGGACGTCGGAATCAGATGACACCTCCACCTGAAGGAAATCGAGAGTTTGTGAATCTAAGAACTCCACCACCACCTCTCATAACGGCCGAGGAGGAAGAAATGGCCGAAATGAGGAGGCAGATGACGGAAATGAGAGATCAGATGAACAGGGCACCTGTACAACCCACCCTAGTAAGGGCCGGGATCACTTCCCCATTTACCCAGGAAAAATGAATGTCGAAATCCAAAGGGATGCCAAACCGCCGATCGGTCGGACATATGACGGGGCGGGAGATCCCCGTGTGCATTTGAGAAGTTACCAAGGAGAACTTATGTTGTTGGGAGCAACTGAGGCAGCCATTTGCCGACTGTTCTTCAGCACGCTCAGGGGACCTGCCCAGGAGTGGTTCGGGAGCCTGCAGCCCGGATCGATCGACAGATTTGCCGAATTATCATCATTATTCTTGGCACAATTTGCCTCCAATGCCACTCCAAAACGGTACTTCAGTAACCTGACCATTGTCAAGCAGGGACCAAGAGAGTCCCTTAATCAGTTTCTGAAAAGATGGAGGGATAAAACCCTGAAGGTTGGCAGCATGACGGAGGATACGACGATCACGTTGTTTACTGATGCCCTCCGGACCTGGGAATTGTACAAGGATTTGAAGAAGAATCTGGGTACATCGTATGCCGAAGTGCTAGACAGAGCCCGAAAACATGCTGCCCTGGAGGAAGAAATCACGATCAGGGATAAGGTGGCTACACCTTCTGCCCCAATAAGGCTGGCCGATCAGTTGGGTCCTATCCCAGCGGCCACACCCTCTCCGAAGCCAGGACGATTCACCCCTGTGGTCCTATCTGTTGCAACCATTTACCAGAACGAGAAGGATAATATTCCCCTTCCGACTGATACCAAAGGTTACATGGGGGCAGATGAGAATGCCTTTTGCAAGTACCACAAGAAGAAGGGTCATCCTACCCATTTCTGCCAAGCCCTTCAAATTGCCATTGAAGAGTTGATCCAGCGGGGTCACCTGGACAAATATGTGAATAAAGACCTGAACGCTGTAGGCATCTTGAAGCCGGTCAAAAAGCCGAACAGTTACAGATGGGATGATCAGTGAGACGCTCAGCCCAGGAATGATGTTTATATTCCCCCCAGAGATGAAGTAGAGGGTTCGGGGAACCCGTGGAAAAAGCCAAGAATGGAGGTGAAGATTATATTTGGGGGCGGGGAAACAGGGGATTCGAATGCCGAACGAAAAAGGTTCGAACGGAGCCTCTATGTGGGGTCCATTTCTACTCCCCCCAAAAGAAAGGAAGAATGGATCCAATCACATTCGGACCTGCAGATTTGCCGAACTCATCAAGTTCGCACAGGGACGAGTTGGTGATAAGCATGTGCATAGACAATGCATTGATCCGCCGGGTGTTGATTGACACGGGAAGCAGTGTGAACGTATTGTACCTACAATCATTCAAAAAAATGGGACTGTAAAGGAACCAGATGACCCACCTGAGGACGCCACTTGCAAGCTTTACCGGAAATTGCATTGAAGCGGAAGGCACTATCCAGTTGATGGTTGAGATTGGGGATGAGACACACAAGGCATCGGTCCGAATGACGTTCGTGGTAGTAGAAATCAAATGTGCCCACAACGCCATTTTGGGCCGACCAGGGTTAGAGGATCTCGAGGCGATAGCTTCCGTTCGTCATTCATGCATTAAATTCCCAACGGACACTGGAGTTGGAGTGGCTAGGACAGATCCAGCAACAGCCCGAACATGCTATTGGGAGGCCCTAAAAAATATGAATACCCGAGGAATGCGGGTAAACAGTATTGAGGTTGAAACTCGTCGAACAGAGTTCGAGGGACATCCTGAGCCTGCTACTCTCTTGGAGCATATCGATATTGATTCTCCCCCCGACCGGAAACTGGCGATCGGGGTGGACATGGAAGCGGGAATACGGGAAGGTGTTATTAAGATTCTGTAGAAGTTTCAGATGCTATTCACTCAGGGACCAGAGGATATGTCGGGCATTGACCTGGAGATACACTACTACACAAAGCACCTAAGACGTCGGTTATTTTAGACATTTAACGTCGGTTTATGTTGCGACGTCTAAGTAAGAGACGTAATAGGTAATAATCTATGACGTCGGTTCAAAAACCGACGTGCAATTTTTTTTTAAATGTGACCTATTATGTCGGTTTCGTGGCAAAACCGGCGAGGTATAATTTTGTAAAAAAGATTTTAACGTCAAGTTTTTCCTTAAAACCGACGTTGAATATTTTTTTTAAAAATAAATTATACCATTTCACGTCAGTTTTGTCCTGTAACCGACGCCAATTTCTTTTTTAACAAATGCCATTCTTTCTTACATAATCGCCTTGATTCTTTTTAACCTGTTATCTTATTATTCTATATAATATATACTTTCATAGTAATCCAATGAATATATTAATCACCAAACAAAATGAATTCACAATAGTATATTAATAACCAAACATAACGAAACACCAAATCGAATTAATCACCAACCAAAATGTAATGCAAATTACAATTGTACGTGCAATAACAATATCTAAGTGATACTTAATATCTAATACGTAAAACCTACTGCCACAAACTTATATAAATGTCATCATAAACTATATACTACCTTCGTTCTTAAATAAGTGCAACATGTGAAATTTTACATTATTCACATGTTCTACTTTGACTACATTTTATTTATTGATATATTAATATATTTTTTTGAAAAATATATTATTAAATTTGTCTCATTGTAAATTTTCAAAAAGTAATTTTTTAAAATTTTTTACTAATAGAGAATTATATATATTAATGGTCAAAGTTGTGTCTCGGCAAGTGTGAAATGTTGACTGTTGCACTTATTTAAGAACGGAGGAAGTATATCTAAGCAACGCTTTACACCACATCCCCTTTACAAAATCCAGATCTGCTTGTGTGTATTTATCATCGCGACTAAACATCTGCAAAAGCATAATTCAAATATTAATCACAAATTATATTGATTTGAAGATATGTATCTTTTGATGAAGATACCTTGGTTATGGAGTTTTTATTTGTCTTAGAAGATATGATGTCATACATGAATCTCATGACATAGTAACTGCATTCGACATTTCCCGCTTGCATTGGGCACTGCGTTGGAAGGAGATAAACCCAAAATATATAAGTATGGTATAATATAATTGAACTATATTTGGATATAAATTACTTACCGGACAAATAGTCCATTTTGTTGTTTTGTATCGATTTGCAAAATGTCTACCTTTGACCACAACTTCTTTGAAAGCCCTATAAATATAGGTCAAATACCCTCGTCAACAAACAATATTAATTTGTAGATATTAAAAACGACACCAAATTAATCACCCTAGTTGATGTGAAAATTAACCAACACTAAAAATGTAATTAACAAATTACAGAAACAAACTATATCGAGCAACACACATTGTCAATATTTGCTTTACATCTTTAGACGGTTGACCACCAACTGAGTCAAACCAAAATGCCTCATGCGTGCTTGGACAAAGAACCCACAACGTCCAATGGCAACTGTGTCATTACAACAAATCATAAAAAATAATGGTAGCTAGCTAGTTTAAGATTTGTAAAGTAATTTCAATAGCATTTCATTTGCATATATAAATAGACTTACCCTTCATAATATGGTGCAAGATAATATTGTTTACCCCCTTTCAGAATAATGTCAGCAAGGTATTCACTCTTGTCTTGGTAATTGGTCTTATGTTGAACCATGTTTGGACATACGAGACCATACTTTTGATTTGCTTTCAAGTCAAAATGATGATGAAGACACCTAGTTTAAAACAAAGAAACATTGTACTTCAACGAACAGAATCACCAACATCTCAAAGAACACAACTCTTTCGATTAAGATTCACAAATGCTTAAATTAGGATAAAAATGGACATTGTTATGCCAAATCTGCTCAAATCTAGGAGCATAATTTTAAATAAATAGGGTTCTTTTACGTTGTCAAAGTGATCGAAGACTTGAAGTGAAAAAAACTTACACGCAAAATAAAGTCATTGCACATATATCAAGAGTCTCCATCTTAAGAAAGCGTTCCATCTCCTCACGATAAATATGGAATCCATATTGTTTCCCAACAATATCAACATCCATATTTATATCAATAAACTCATCTGCATGTAATCCAATTGCCAATGTCCTCACCAACTGAAACTCCCTGGATATGGCACTTACATCTATGGTTGAAGGGCAATGAGGATCAGAGGGCAATGTATTCAACAATTTTCCTTTTGGTGCTCGTCGATGATGTACCTTGTTAATTTCACACTTTAGTACATGTCAACCTATTTAATATAATTATAAAAGATAGATATACATCATGTACCTCATTCTCGATTCCCAACTCCACTAACCGCTTCGGCCAAGCGATAAATTGAGAAAGAGCATCATCCACTTTTTGTACCTCATCGTTCGGGTAAGGTACACTTGCACTAGGGACAACCACTTTTTCAACAACTACACGCACTTCATCATGAGATAGTGGTTTATTGTGTAGCATGGCACTTGACTTGAAAACTTTTCCATATGCAACAACGTGTTTAGTAGGGTCCTCTGAATAGCATATACATTTTTCCCCTGTCTGCATTTTCCAGTACATACTAATTAACCCATGAATAACATATATACTTAAAAATTATCATAATGAAAAGTAGCTGCATACCAAAGGAATTACTTCAAACGGGTCCAGACAACTAGCTTTTTTGCTTTTTTGGAGGACCTGCATTTATGCTTACAGTCTGATCCAAATTGATAGACTTAGGACTTGCGTTACTTGACATCATAGTTTGCATCATTGCTTCCATTTTCTGTTGCATTAGACTATCCATTTTTTATTCAAATGTTCTAGCACATCTGGACTCTGTATCAGCTACTCCTTTGTTAATCATCTGTTGAACATCCTCCGAGGACATGTATTTCTCATCACATCTTGACTTTCGGTCAAAGTATTCAGTTATTGTAGAATCTCCTCCTACACCCCTAACACGACCAGGATGTTCACTTTTCGCTAATGCTGCACTCAAAATATCATCCCTCCCTGATTCAGTGAATTCTCCTATGGAGGCTTGCTGTTGCAAAGAATCATATCACCATATAATGAAATATTAGTCAATTAAATTGATTAATAATAACACATTCAGTGGTGCACTATAAATATAGTAATAATAAGAAAAGTAACTTTATTTTAGTTCTAACAATTTTTTCTGCAACTTCTCTACTCTCTTCTGTGGTAAAATTTCCGTCTTTATCTACTCAACCTCCTTTCCATAATATATGTCTCGGAATAAAAGTTATGGGCGTGCACACAAAAGATGGATCAGACATAGAAGCAAGTTCTTGTTCTGGTTGTTTTTCCTTTATGAGGTCTTGCTCTAACTTGTAGTAACCTCATCGGGACAATCGATGCGTGTACACATTTAAGATTGCAGCTCTTTACCTTCCTCACCCAAATGCTACAGAAATAGTAAACAGTTAAGAAAACAATGAAAATTCCAAAGTCAGATTATCCCAAAAACTAAAATACTAGATAATTTTTTTTAGAATTCAAATTTGTCAGTAAAGTACAAAAGCCACTTCTGTAATCTCAAGTGTGTGTGAATATGTAATCTAGCATCCTACCTATTCGAGATACATTGTACATCAGACATCAGATGAATGCACAAATCAGTCATCACCTACACTAAAGAATATAAGTCACTGTGGTACAAAAATCTATAATGAAATTAAAGAATCGGGTGGTGACTAGGATAAATAGTTGCAGATTTTTCCCTGTGATGAGCGCAAAAGCCTATTCTCAGCCTCAGATTTCGATGGTGTTCTATATTAGAAAGAGATCTACAACCCAGTATTGGAGAGCTGGATATTACAAGTATGATCTGTTACTCGATCAGTCCGTGATAACCGCTTACGCGGCGTTGTAGTAAAACGGAGTCTAAGCTTTCAGTTTTTTCCCGAGTATCGTGTCTCTTGAGGAATGGCGGAGGAGTTTCTTGATTTTAAGTCCAGTCACACGTTATCCCAAATCGTTGGAAGCCTTCCAAATTAAAACTTTTGATTGATTTTCTAAACCAGTTTTTGAAAAACAAAGTAAATTAAATTATGCAATTACTAATGATGACTCAAAAATAAACTAATATGAATATAATACTAAACTCTAATTGGATTGATCAAAGAAGGGCAATGAATTGAGTAATTAGAAATGGATATATTCTTGGACCTAATAATTAGGGGAACTAAAAACTAAAATTGGACTAATAATTTCTTTTCTCATAGATAAGAATAGAAATTACTTTCATTAATTTATCCTATTTCTAGATTTCATTAATGTATTCAAAAATGGTTGACTTGAATTAAATTCTAATCTCATAGACAAGACAGAAATAATTCTCCAATATTTTAATTAATAAAAATAGCCAAATTCATTAACTAATTAAACTCATTATTTAAGCAATTTGAATTTATTTCTCATAGACAAGATGTAAATCCCTTTCATTAATATTTTAATGAATATGGTTGGCTAAAATTATTTTCTAATCTCATAGACAAGTTAGAAATAATTTTCCAAAATTTAATTAATGAAGATGGCTAACAATTATTAATTACTATTTCATCAATTTGAATAACTAGTCCAATTAGTTAATTTTAACCCCTAATTTTCGGCTAACAAGTCAATCCATATTCCTTTATTCAATTCATGCCCAAAACAAATTTAACTACTAAGCATTATTTTTGCATTCAACAATATAGTAAATAAATTAAACATTAACAAGGAATTATACATATATAATAGCAAAAATTAAACAAAAATTAAATTCTGGCAAAATAAACTTGCAATGGAATAAACTGGAATTAGGACCGTAATTATTTTTTTTTCTATTTTTAACTATTTAATTAATTTGTTCAATAATAACAACTAATTACCGAAATTAGTTAAAAATTACTTGTGCTTCGTGAAAATTAACTTTCTTCAGATAAATAACAGCCTTGAGGCTAGTGAACAACTGTACAATTAATTGGAATGAATTCAACATCAACAACTATTTTATTTAATTTTTGGAAGAAAATGCGAGGTCCACTACTCTTCAGAGGCCCAAGACACCGTCCCGGTACGGAGCCCAATCGGCGAGGTCCATTTAGGCCCCTCAGGCCCATTTACGGCCATTTAGGCCCACCCAGCCTACTTGGGGTGTTTTCGGCCCATTAAGGCCCATTAGGCCTATTGGCCCATTAGAATAGAAAAAGCCCATCCTCCCTTCTATAAATAGGAAGCAAGGCTTCCCATGTAAAGGGGCTGCTTCTTTCCTTCTCTTTTGGGGAGCTCTTCCCTGATTGTTTCTTCTTCTTAGCTTAGCAACTAAGCTCCGTTAATGGAGGCTTCAAGTTTGTATTATGTAAATATGGTAAGGAGAGCATATTAATGAGAAAGAGCGGGCTTGGACGTTAGCCTAAAAAGTCATGTGGTTTTCTCCCTTTTCGGGTTTACACGTAAAAATAGCTAGTTCATACACGTTTATATATTTATTCACTTTTATACCAAATCCATCATCCTTAATATCCGAAGTTATGTTGGGCTTTCGGATCTACGGGACAAAAACTCAACATTGGCGCCGTCTGTGGGAAACTGTTCAAAAAGATTCATGTGTTCTTCATTCTAGAAATTTTGTGATACAAAGAGCAACTGATTACAGCAAGAAAGAAAGAAAAAAAATGTCCTTGAAGAAAGACAAGAAAAAAAAACGTAGAGAGCCCGAATCAGAAGGTCAAGGAGGGTGGCCTCCAAAAACTATGGGTGGATGAAAAAGACTGGAGGTGGGCCCGCGTCCCTACTAGCTTGCAGCAAGGATAAGGACAAATTGCTTCCTAATCACGTGGGTGATGTGACAGATGCATGATTATCCAAAAAAGCTCCTGCTTCCCGAACGGAACTTCCCGTTCAAACTCACAACTGCACCCAGAGGGAAACCGAGGAGGCCACCAGCTCACCGTCCCTTACGGGACCCCGAAGCCTAGAGTGGGAAGTCTTTACAATGCCCGACCATTCTATAGTACCTGCAGCCTGCAGGGGAGGCCACTGACAACAGCAGGGGCCGAACATGGGAGGACAATGGTCTAGTGCTCTTTGCGAATATTTCTCTGGCACCCATCAATGGGCCCCAGACGTAACAGCTGTTTTCCTTGACACCAAAAGGCTGCAACGTAACATCTGGGTGCAGTTGTGAGTTTGAACGGGAAGTTCCGTTCGGGAAGCAGGAGCTTTTTTGGATAATCATGCATCTGTCACATCACCCACGTGATTAGGAAGCAATTTGTCCTTATCCTTGCTGCAAGCTAGTGGGGACGCGGGCCCACCTCCAGTCTTTTTCATCCACCCATAGTTTTTGGAGGCCACCCTCCTTGACCTTCTGATTCGGGCTCTCTACGTTCTTTTTCTTGTCTTTCTTCAAGGACATTTT